CGCCCACTAGTGGGCGGTAGGGACCAGGTTGACTACCACTGCCCTAAATATTATGTAGGTTGCCTCCAGTTTTCTTTTGTATGCCTGATGGAAGTTTGAACAACCACTCATCCCAATTCCATTTCCATTGAAGGACACCAGAAAGCCTTAGCAATGCCCAGTTCTAAAAGCAAGATATTCTTAAGAAACATTGTTATTGGAATTAAAGTTAGTCAAGCTTTTTGTATAGTGTTCTTCAGTTAAACTGAATGTCAGGGTTCTTAGTAATAGATCCATAACAAGAAAAACTCTAAGGAAGATGGATTCCTCAAAGAATAGTTTTATTGGCTATACCATATTGGCACAGATCTGGGGAAAACCTGAAGGTTCCTGCAGTTTTCACCTAATTAAAAGTAAAAGTTTTCCCTCAACCCCAAACAATCAGTCACATGGTCCAATCAAAGCCCTGTCTGGTTGCCTGGTGACATCACTCCTCCTTTCTCTAATCAGGTGTGAGAACGTCTTTGGTTCCCAAGAGAAAGTAATCCCCCTTCCCTGTCCCTCAGCTCCGGTGTGGCAGCACTGAAGCTCAAAGATGGCTTTGGCCAGGTGAGCTTCTGAGTTGACACCGAAAAGATTACCCTGCTTATATTCTCACTGGAACAAAAAGTGGGTCCTATTTTTGTTCCAGTGAGAATATAAGCACTTTTGTTCCAGTGGCTTCAGTTTCTGTCCAATAAATATAGGAATCAATCAAGCTGCTGAAGCAGGAACAGCATCTCTATTTTTCCAGCCCAAGCACATTTCTTACAGATTGGAGAGAATATACAGTTGAAGGACAAAGGAAGAGGTAACACAATGGATGATTGCTTCGCAGATATGGGGGACCCATGACTTTTCTCACTTTTGATCATTCAGTATGTGAATAATTCCAAAATATGTTACGGAATTTTTACCTTCTTCTCTTGCTGCTCAATTATGACTTCCTTTTAAAAAGGCATAGAATATTTAAGAATAGCCCTCTGTGTTGGATTTGACCACATTTCGAATCAGGTAACTTTCTGAAGTGAAGCAGATTCTGCACTCATCAGAATTCAGTGTGGAGTTTTCCAGAGTCCATAAACTATTTG